GGAACTGGCTTGAGTCAGTCAGCTGGATTTTTCACAACCCAGAATGGACCATTTCCAATACAAGCAAGTTGAGATGGAAATACAGAAGGAATATTTCTAACCACATCCCTGCTAGAGAAAAGAACACTTAAGGAAGCTTCTTTATGTTGTTTTTGCTTCATGCTCTCTTTATGCTTTCTTTTTTCTTTGTTATTCAAGGCTTAAATAGCTCACTGTGTACTTTACAGAGCAAGTTATTTTCAAGTTTATCTACTATTTCCCCTTACTATACTCCATGTTCATTGTTTGCCTGATATTCTGGGCTAACAGCTTCTGGATCAAGATGGGGTTAGGCTCTGGAGAAGGCCAAGCAGAAATAAAGAGCTGCCACAGCCTCTGTGCATAGCATGGTAAGAACACTGGTGAGAAGGACTTGAAGATACTGGACAGAAGGGCCTCAAAATGCTCTGAAAAACTAACTAATGCTCAAAAGCTCTGAAAAACTAACCTTTGCAATAAAAGTAATCTATTGCAAATTCATCAGGGAAAAGACTGATGAGGTAACCTGACAACTACCTTCAATGAAGGCTGGATGTGGTTCTGGGCAACCTGATCTAGTTGAAGATGTTCCTCCTTACTGCAAGGGGATTTGAGTAGATAACCTTTGAAGGTCCCTTCCAACCCAACCTGTTCTATGATTCCACACTGAGTCAGTGCTGGGTTTCTAATTTTCCAAATAAGGTCATAACAAGTTCTGGGCAAAGACCACGTGTGTTGCAGGTCAACATGAAGAGTCTCTAACTGGCTGACTGCTGAGTCTTTTTCTTATAGCCTGCATCAAATAGATAGCCAGTCTGTGATGACAGAGGAATCCTCACATGATACAGGGGAGAAGGCATTTGCAAAGTGAGTGTAAAGATAAGTTTATTAATACATTTGAAGCATTCAAAAGAATACTGTAACAGAGAAAGTCCCACGAGAAAAATTATTATGTCTTGAGCACAAGTCTCAAACAGTATCCAGGTCCTTTATTCAGTATAAAGGACCTGGAACTGAATAATGGATAATGGGAGGGAGAGAACGGAAAAGGACTTTTAACACATGTTCACTAAGCAAATGGAAAAATATCCCATCATACAAATACCAACAGTATATGTACAGTACTGGTGGATGATGTTAGTCAGTCTTCATACTGAAATTTATTAACTATAATTAGAAGTTCTAAAACTCATTTTAAATTGCCCTTGGTTTAAAAATAGCTTTTCTATATATAGTATTCTAAAGACAGGAATGCACACAGAGATGTATGCTTACAATGACAGTTAGGGTTTCATAATTAAATGTGCACATAAACACTTAAAAACACATCCTCCATGATCCAGCCTCAGATGTATTCTCCAGCTGCACAGCACTGATGTTTAAAGGAAAAACCCACCTCAAAGCTAACTCCATGGTTGATGATGCCACCATGAAACTCAGCCAAGGAGGAAAAGACAGGACAAAATTTGTCCTGTTTCCACTATCCTCAACCCTAAGAGAGGGTTTTCCTCTTTTCCTCTGCAGCCACCATTCATCATGAGGATCCCCCACTTCTACAAGGAAGGAAGCTTCTCCTCATTCTCATTGGAGTTGATGTGACAACCATGAGAGGATTAATTTACATAAAGCTATTACTACACCAATGCTGTGCCCACCACTCAAACAATGAATGTAAGTCTGAGCTCATGGCAGTTGCCCCCTGGCAGGTTCTGGAGAATGATGTGTATGACTCCTTGTGAAGCTGCCTGTGCATGGAGGGATCTCCCCCTCCTCATTGCTTCTGCAGTCTCAGCAAAATTCAACTGAAATTTCTTACTAAAAATATTTTTTTCCCTTATGTTGCTCTGTTGTTAAGCACTTTTAATTCTTCAGCAACAGTAGGCTTCGATTACCCTCTAGGATTCAAGAACACCAATGAACCAACCTTTAGGAGACAGACAGTAGCCAGGGACCACTCTTACTTCCTCTCAGACTCAGTGTCCTAGTTCACACCTGTTTCTATACACAGCTACCATAACATGCTTGCCACTTTAATGTCTGGGATCAAGCCTAGCCTTTAACACACACTGATTTATGCCTGGTCACTTCCTAGGTGTATTTGGGGTACAGGCCTAGTATTCATTATTGCTCCAGCTATGCCTTGATTTTCACACAAATGTGAGAGCCAGGGCAGAAGGCAGCCATAGGGAGCCATGGTGCTTTCTAAGAGGCTCCTCTGATCTGAACAAGATCTGCCCATCATCACAACCCTGAGTGCAAAGCACACCACACCATAGTCTGAAGTCAATTTAAGAGCTTAAAGCATCTTAAGATTTCTGGGGACCTCCAGAAAACTACAGAGGAACACAAAGAATACATCACCTGCAGGAGGAAGTTCAACAGCAGGCATCCTGCCCTGACTCACCTGCCTTCTCCCAAGAGCTGGATTTCTTCCTACAGTTTACCAGAATGCTGCAGGTCCAGCTTTTACCTCATGAAGCACATAGCTGCTTTGAAGTATTATTGCCACTAATTTCTGGATCCACAAGTGTATAACCCACTCAACACCTCTTGGAAATTTGTAATTCGCATTTCTAATAAATCTATACAATTATGTGGAACATTACAGACACAAATACTTACCATTAAAAATACTTCCATAGAAGTATTTCTTCATATATCTATATATATATATATTCATATATACGAAGAAGTATTTCTTCGTATACCTTCACAGAAGATAGCAATCTGATTCAGAATTTTAGCGGCTGTAGGCTTGAAAAGGAAATTATTACACTATCCTCAGAATGCCTTTATCAGTGTTTATGATTTCTTAAGAATACTAATACAATGGCAGGCATGTGGAACTCTAATTGGGGAGTAGCAGAGCCTTGCCACACTCAATAAAACCTCTCATGGGTGCAGTGTAACTGAAGTAATATAGAGAGCCCTTCCTGGAAACTCCTCCCTGCAGACTTCTACCAAATCCAGAAAGACTAATTTAACTTTTAACAACATACCACAAACGTGGTTTGACCAATCTGTAATTATAATGGGTGTGCTTTATGAATGAATCTGTTGTTATAATTAGATCTAGTTCTAAAGACAAAATACAGTTATAAGTATTTTTACCGCTGGGGTTTTTTTCCTCTTTCAAAGCCCAGCATAGAAAAAGAAAGTCTGACAAGTGTTGAGACAAATTTATTAACCTCAGTTCCTCAGTAGTAATATTTATATGACCAGAAGTTCACTGTACAAGGCAATGCAGGAAAGAACAGCAAACACAGGAAGGGAGCACAGGAAAGGGAAACCATCGACTTTTTGGTGGAGACATTACATCACTCGCTTTGCAATGTATCTGTATCGCAGCCCAAATAATGTCAGCCAGTTCCAAGATAAGGAACATGTTTATTTAGAGAATAAATCTAGTTAGATAACATCATAATGTCAATATTTGCCATATTAATGTTCCTCTCAGTTAATACTCAGTAGTTAATAATATATTGTGTGCAAAAGGAAAAGATCTTTCCAATGAGATGTGCATATAACCAGGGAATTGCCAGGTTTGGAACATGGTTCACTCTGCTTTTTGGAGGGCTCCTTCTTTACTGGTTGCAAAGAGATAGCAATAGGTCTTCAACTAGCAGAAACCAATTGACTCCCATCTCACAGCACTTTGTTTGGGGGTTGGTTTTTCTCAAGATTTTAGTACCAAGCCTGACAACTAGAACTAATAATCAGGCTCCTGTCAAAAACTACGGACTCTCCAGCCAGGCTATTGCAGGCCACTGCAGCCAACTTTATCCCCTGTGGCAGGATGTGGACCGGTGGGAGGCCGGGCTCTGGTGACCAGCATGTTGGGGTTGGGCTCTAGCTGCAGCTGCCTGGGCTGTCATTGATGAAGGAAAAGGGACAGAAGCCAGCAAAGCTGCTACATGGACATCATAGAAGTGGTGGGGACATTGAAGATGGAAAGTGTGCTTTTGGCCAGCACTGAAATCTTGAACCTCTTCACTGGATAATGAGGCTACACTTCATTAAATTTGGGCAGAAGGGAGAGACTTTCTTAAACATAACCCTAAGACATAAAGTTTCTGTAGGCCCAAGGAAGAACCTGTCAACTGCTATTCTGCTAAGCCCAGTGAACACAGATGACTTCATGGTGGGCTGCATGCTGTCCATTTTCTATGCATTTATTGCAATGCATGCTGTCAAGGGCAGCTGTGTGCCTCTTCAAAGCAAGTACGTGTTTCTGCAGTACACAGTTATGAACACATGAATAGTGAGTAGTATCCACTCCCCCTCACCCAGCTCATGTGTTGTGGGTGGGTTTGTCCTATTGTTTCTGCTGTCCCTAATACAGCTCAGAGAATTCGTAACTCATTACTCAGCAGCAGCTCTTTCCATAGCTGTTGATCAGATGGATTAAGCATGCCTTCTGACACTGCATTTACCATGGCCTGGTGATGACTTTGTGATTGATGACTCCCTAATCTGCTCCAAGGGAGTAATCTCTCCTTTGTGAACCCTTGGTTTGCACCTCCATTGGGGCCCCGCCTGCAGCTTGCCATCTGTGCCTCTGCTGTTCTTCTACTTGCACAGGTCCCTACATAAGCCTGCCCTCCTCATGCTAGTAAAGTGGACCTCACTGAGAGCTACGTTGATCAAAGCTACTGCCCACCACATTATTACTGACTCTCCTTCAGATCATTCAGCTCTTGGTGTTTTGCAGGAATCAGAAGCTATGAGCTTGACTAGCTGGCTTTGACTACAGTTCCCTTATCATCTGCTGTGTCAGAATGTGTCATGTGTGGCCCAGCATGACAATCCCCATGCTGTGTAGTGAGCTCAGGACATGCAGAGCAGGTCCCCTGACCACCATCCTCAGTAATGTACGGAACAAATGGAACTGACATAATTCACAAGAGAACAAAGGCTGATCATTTTCTGCCTGAATTGAACATTTCTTTGCAAAGTTCCATGAATCACCAAGTAGAAAACAATCCAGATGATTCTGTTTATTGTTATATTGGTTAAATGTCCTTATTTCAAAATCAGCCATTATTTCAGTAAGGTTTCTAGTAATGCAAATGTCATTCAGATTTATTTAGATAAGCCATGTTAAGTGCATATGTTTGGCAGAAAAATGCTCCTTTCTGCCCAGAAATTAATTCTGAATTTGTATAATGCTATCTGTGAACAAACAATGCTTTTATTAGCTTTATAGAATGCATCTCCCCTCTACAGACAAGCTGGTTACTAACAGCACAAGAGATGATATGGAAAAAAATTAAATCTAACATTTAAAACAATAATGAGTATGTCTACATATTAACATTCATACCAAGCTTAAAATTAGTACTATTTGGATCACAGACTGCTGCTGAATGCTGTGGTAAAGAAACTATATAAGCAATGATAATTACCATTTAAAAATAGCTAACAGTGTGAATTGGAAGATTTAATGTGTTTTCTTCTTTTAATGTACAGCCCCATTCCCAGAATTTCACTGGACCATGTGGACAGACCAACTGTCACAGCTGTCTATCATGGCTGAATTAGATGAAGAGAAACAATACAGGCTTTGTGGTTCAACTGAAGCAGCAGCCTCAAAAGTTTCCATTTCTCATCTGAGGGCACTGTGGGAGCATTGTCTTCCCCCTCTCTGAAAAGAGAATGGAACAATTATGTTACTGAAATTCCTCCACAGTGGGTCTGAAAGACTGTTTATGTCCAGCCAGGGAGAGAGGGAAAACTAAAAGCTGGAATTTCATGACAGCAGGTGGGGGCAATTTCAGGGTATATACATCAGTGACATAATGGTCCTGATTCTTCTGTTTTAGGGTAAAGCCAGTGCTGGAAGATTTACTAGCAATGGAGGAAATGGCAATAAAAATGAAAAGTTAAATGCAGTGGTAAAATTACTAACTTGAAACAAAGCTTTACAATTGGCTTTCTGAATCAATCAGGTAATTGATTCCCATGTGGAGGGCATGGCAGTAAACTAGAAAGGAAAATATATTAGTCACAGATAGATTTTTAACAGTTACTATTTTAGGGACCCTACCAAGTGAAGTGCTGAGTATGCAGTTTTCATCTAAGTCAGGTGGGCTCAGGAGATAGATAGAAAGCAATCACTCAATTTGTCCCTCCTAATAGCAGCGATATTCATATTCATTTGCAGCAGAGATAAATCAATACTTGGTTTCATGCAAACACATATTCATGTGCTTTGGCTTAACCTTAGGAAACCAGCTGCTCAGGTTCCCAGTTCTTCATGTTTTTTTTTATAAAGGTGTACCATAAAAAAACATGTAATAATCATAAGTTATTCTCCATCTCTGGAAAAACTCAACATGTTTTTCAGTGGGCTACTGATACACGGGTTCAGGGACCCATTCCCTCCCTGAAATGAATAGAAAGTTTCATCTTGCATGGACAGAAGATACTGGATCAGGAAATTAGACTGCAAAATCTGAGTCAGGAAGCTCAAAAGAAGCCAAAACCTGTGTTCTTAAGGTTCTATGTAGGCAAACTAATGCTGTGACACAGTGACACTTTCTCAATCTCAATTAGTACTAAACTAATTAAGAAAACTGTTTTATACACTGCAGTGAGTACTATCTCTTTTTGTTCTTGGATAATCCCTAGTGTGATGTAAGGGTGATTGAGTATCTAATTACTCCTTAATTGAATGCACATTTTGTACATTTTTCACTAGTTCAAGCTTAATGCTTTTAGTCCAAAAATCAAAGTCAGTGAAATTAAGTTGAACCAGGATTTGGGCAGCTATTGTATTAATGGATTACTTTTGGAAAGGGGCCTAATTACAAGCCAGCCTGAAGATTTCAGTTGTTTGCTACAGAAATACTTAAGATATCGTCTGACAGAAGACTGATCGCATACATTGATAGTGTTGTTATTCATGTCTACATTTTGTTCTTGTTTAAGAGTAATTTTTCTCCCATGCTAAATTAATAACACTGTTCCATAATATATGTGGTCAAGTAACACACTATTCAGGCTAAAGGTTTACGTAGATATGAAGATACCTGCTTCCCTTACTCTTCTGAAAAGTTTTTGGAAATGTAGTATTTGAGCTACAATTGTACAAATGGGCGAATGTATTATAATCAATCAGAAAACTGCCTAGATGCCTTGCTTGTTTATAGATCATATTTCTGCCTCTGAAATTTCTTTTGTTTGGGTTGAGTCCTAAATATATTAAATGGAGTCCCACTGCTTCTGGTGGAGTCCTCTACAGATCAGAAAACCATCCCCAAAGAAAAGCTTCCAGGATCAGTGCCATAAAGTTATGTTCCTGGGAAATCTGAGAGCTATTATTACACTACCCATGGTTTTTAAATAAATAAATAATAACAAGGACAATCAAAATTCAGAACTCATCCTCAGAATGTAAAAATATCACTATGTTTCCAAGAATACTTATTTCTAATTCTTTCATATAAAAATTTTATGTACTTATATTCCTCACCTAGATTTTTTTGTATAAAACCAGGATAAATGCAAGACTCTCAGAAACTCTCAGAAACGAGCAGCAGCAGGAGCAAAGACAGGACCAAGCTGGTATATTTTAAAGAACCAAAGATTCCAATGTTTGCCTAGTAATAGACAGAACACATTTAAAAAAGAAGATATATGAAAGCTTCAGTGAAAAGGATTATTTTTCAAAGTCTTCCAGAACTGTTGAGAAAGTACAAATAAACGGACTACAGAGAAATGAAATAGGATGGCCAAAATCATATACCTTTCCATCTGATAGGGAGAAAATAAGATGCCTCACTGTAGCAGCCTTAGGTCAAGATCACTATATAAGATCAAAAACTTTCCTCTGCTAGTTAAAAGTAGTCAATCTGCTTTCTGGAGAGCTTTTCCACCTCTTTTGAATACCATAATCCTTACCACTATTGTCTCACACAATATTTCTATTTTTTTTCTTCTAGTTTCTTGCCTTCTCCTCCTTAAGTTTAAACAAAAAGCTTAACATGTTAAGAAAATCAAAGGACATGGGTGGCAAAACCAGTTTAACACTGGCTATGCATTACTATTATCTTATTCTGTCCTAAAAAGAGCACCTGAAAATACAGCCAGACACAGTGTCACAGAAAAGAGAACTGACCACCTTACCTATCCTGAAACACTGCATTCCTTCCATGACCAGGTCACAACCTACTGAGTCTACATCTAGTTCTGCGGCATTTAACAACATATAGCTACCTAAAGTGTACCTTTGATTCTCTTGACCTCTGGGGATGTCTAAAAATCTTTTAAAAGTTACAGTAAGTTTTGCTGTGCAGCACTGCTCTGGTGTTTGTCTTAAAATGTTGGTAACAACAGTCACTGCTGGTATTCCCTTGAGTGACAATTATCAGTTGCAAAAACATTTTCAATAACCAAAATAACTCATCTGGTTTTGTTTGCTATTTATTTTCAAAACATTGCTATCTGCTTAGCAAGAGTCTTTTTGCATCCCTTCATTGCACTGTTTTCGTCCACATAAAATAATTAGAATTACAAATTCCTATAAGAGTAAGGACCTGGGACTACCTGGATCTTCATTTTCAATGGAGTAAAAATGCTCTGCTTTAAACTCCCTGTGTTATTTCATGTAGGTAAACCAGAGTGCACTCTCACTGCCTAAAACGTACATTGCTGAAGGAAGAATGCATATTGCAGGCTTTCCCCTCTGCTATGGTTAGACACATGCATCTGCATGTCCTTCTAATATCCTTGACATTTGAGAGCTGTTACATTACTATATTTCACATGTATTAATCTGGAGTCTCTATATCTTAACAAACAGGTGTATTTTTATCAAAGATGATTTAAGCTTCCTACCATTTTGCCTTACCACTAATTTGCAGCATTTTCCTCATAACTGAAAATAACATGGCAGAGCTTCAGTGTGTGTTCAGACCCTAACTTTCATGTTGAAATTGCCAATAAATATACTGTGAGGATGTCTTTATGACAGGCACTCCTGGCTACATCATCACTTCCCAAGCAGCAGTGTACAAACTATACATGGTTTATGGCAAGCAGCTGGAAATTTTACTCTCAAAACCCTTTACATAAAAATGTTGATGATAACAGTGCATTCTGGATAGCAAAGAATGTGTGATGCTGACAGAGACTCACAGGTCACGAAATTTGGAAGCCCTTGTCAGAATGAAGTATCTCACTTAAAGCATAAGCAGGGGTCTAATTCCTAGGCTACCTTGTGATATTTTTAGCTTTGAAAAAGAAGCACAGTTATTTTGTTTCTTCTTTGCTTCTTCTTCAGCATGCTAAGGGATTTCAGCTGTTTCCCACTCCTTCATCAATATTTGTGTATTTCTAATAAGAACTCAGAAGAGGATTGAACAAGGACAATTGCAATATGGTACCAGTTCTGGAAACAGATAAAACTCAAAATGGTTTTCTTCCTCATTTAGGGCTTGATCACTCCCTATACTAATGCTCTGGCCTGGACACAGCATAAATTCCTACTACAGCAGTGAACAAGTCTGTGGCTTTTGGGCCACTTGTGGCTATCAAATCAGTAAATTATGGCTCCTGCGACAGAGGTACGTCACAAAAACAAGCATGTTTTGCTATTCACTAATTTGAATCCTCAGCAGTGGGAAAACAACTTAGGCTAAGAAGATAGGGTTCACAATCTCAGAGCACACTCCATTCCCTGCTATTACAACAAAGTAGTGGGAAGCAACCTGAAAAGGCACCATCTTTAGCCATTCCTGAAGCTCCTGGTCCCCAAATGGTCCAAAAGTTTTGGTATGTTTCAAGCAGCTCTCCAATTATGGTGTGTGGCCCACAGCCCTCTGTACTATAGTCACACACTCACGTGTAAGAACATTCTCAAGTACTCTGAAGTAAAGCAGAGTGTTAGACACTATACAGAAGATCTTAAAAACAGGAGAACAATAGTCAGTTTTATTGATAACACGAAGTTCGGTTTCAAAGACAAACTCAACAATTAAACCAGCTACCTTTTAAGTACAAACCCTAAACTCATGGAGACAAAGAATGACCGATGAAAAATCCCTTGCTGCAAAGCAATATAAATAGTCCTATTTCATCAAATCTAGGAAACTGCTGTTTGTATTTCTAAAGAACAAGTGTTGATAATATCTGTGGTGGCATTGTTGTTTTTTTTTTTAAACAGGAAAAAGAGAAGAACGGTCATAGTAGCCTAATGATGCATAGCTGCTGAAAGCTCCCTCCATCTCTGGATCTACACAACAGGAAAGAATAAAATCCCTAAGTGTTGGAAATTCCGCAGAGCAATGTGTTTGTGAACTTCAGGAACTAGAAAGGCTACCAGTAAACTAGACTGACACATATTGATTGGTATTGCAAACTTCCATTCAAATGTGAAGCTCACTGAGATCTGCTTAGGCAAAAAAATACAGGTCACAGCATTGTGCCACTCGTCTCCATTTCTCAAAGGCAAGGCACAGCTCCATAGCTCATGCTGTACCTGAAAGTCCGCTCATATTCTATAATCGTTACTAAACAATGTAAAGTGCTGCAAAGGGGAATGCACCACTACCTGTTTAGTACTAGTTCGTTCCCATTGGCAGCACTGATGCCCTCTTCAATGTCCTATGAAAAGGGCAACATAGTTTTGCTGCCGCAAGAGCA